CTTTTGGGATGTGAATGCATTTTGATATAATCAAGAAAAAGCAAGAAAGTTATTTTCATTGTTAAAAAGAGTGCACCCTAAGCATCATGTTACATAAATAAAAAATAAACACCTAACAATATTGTGCTAAAACTGTAGAACATTAAGAATACACACAAAAAATTATGAAAAATCAGGAGAGAAAATACAGGTTATCCATTAAAGAATGACAATTAGTCTCTGAGCAGACTTATCAATAACTATGAGTACCAGGCCTCCAGACTGGAAAGGAAGAAGTAAAACTATCTGATCTGTGGATCACATGATATAGTCTTTTATGTAGAGAACTCTAAAGAACCCACTAAAAAACTATTAGAATTAATAAATGAGATCAGCAAGGTTGAAAGATACAAGATCAAGATATAAACATCAATCCTATTTCTATACAGTAGCAATAAACAAACTGAAACTATTTTTTTAACTCCATTTACATCAGCAACAAAATACTGATACATGCTATAACATGGACCTTGAAACATTATGCTAATTCAAAGAAGCCATTCTTAAAGGATGACATATTACATGATTTAATTTATATGAAATGTCTAGAATAGTCAAATCTGTAGAGACAAAAAGCAGATGAGCGCTATAAAGTTCTAGACACAAATAAGAAGGAAAATTGAGAGAGGGATGTGCTTATTCAGTGGGTAAAGTATAATAAAGTCCTTTTCTTACCTAGGAGGGAACCTGAAATACTGTATAACTCCTGACTATGTTAGATAATTTTAGAACTACTGTATGCTAAAATTTTAACAGGTAACACTAAAGGAAAAGAAGCATAGCAGATAGCTTTCAAACCAGAAAAAAAAGGAAAATAAGAGACAAAGAAAAATCTATCAACATGGCAGATGGCAAAAAAGAGGAAAATAAGACTCCTACATTTGGAAATGAAAAAATATTTGGAATTAAACTATGAAAGTTCTACATGTTGAGTCTTGAGGATACGGCTAACACAGGACCTGGAGATACATCTGTAGACTTATTTACTAAAGACTGAAGTAAACTAATGAAGTGTTTCATTCAAGAAGTTAAAAATAACCCATAAAACTCAAGAAAGCAGGAAGACCACACTAAAGATAAGATCAGAACTAAAGGAACCAGAAAAGTGAAAAACAATACAGAAACTCAGCAAAACTAAAAGATGACTCTCTGAAAAGACCAATTAAAAACAAAGAAATCTAGAGCAAGATATCAAGAAAAAAGAGAAAGCAAAAACAACATTAAGAAATAAGCATATGTGGAACAGAAATTTTTAAAATTATATAAGTAACTACCATAAAGTTTCATGCCAATATACTGAATACATGGATGAAACAGACTGTTTTTCAAACAAATATTACCAAAATTGATTTAAGAAAAAATAAAAAACCTGAAGAAACCGATAATCATTAGATATACTAAGTCAGTTTATAACTAGGCTCAGACAGTTTTATACATGAATCTTACCAACTCTTCAAAGACCAAAACCCTCTAACATTTAGAAACTGTTTTATGAGGGCAGCATAACCTTGGTGACAAAATTGGAAAGGGACAGTATGTTTTAAAACACGTTTATTTTTTGTGTGACTACAGATGCAGATATACTATAGTTTAACATAGTATACAAATATAAATAAAATACAGGTAAATTTAATTCAAGTATATAAAAGAAAAAATATACTAAAGAGTAAGTGGGGTTTTCTCTGTGAATGCAAAGATAACCATCAGAAAAATCTGTCAATGTTAATTCACCATATTAGCAGAGTTAAGAGACAAAAAGCATAAAATTTAGGGGCATAAGGGAACTTCATGAATGATGAAAACTTCTGTATCTCAATTGTGGTCATGGTTACAGAGTTGTATACATTTGCCAAAACTCAAACTGTATGCGTAAAATGGACGTACTTTTATTATATGTAAATTATACTACAAGAAAATTCTATTTTTTTTTAAAAAGTATGTATATATAAGGTCATTATAAGTAGTTATAAGACAAGCCAAAAACTGAGAGCAAATATTTACAGTGCTTATAACACTAATGTCTATAATGTGTGTATGCATGCATGTATCTTCAAGTGCCTGTGTATATGACTCAGAAATGAATAAGGAAAGTTCAAATAACCCAACCAAAGAACAGGCAAAGAATATAAATAGGTAACTCAAGGACGAACAACCTCACTTTAAAAATTTCTACATGCCCATCACATTGGCGAAAAAAATAAAGTACAGAAAACCTGATGGCAATTAATTTTTGGCAAACTGTTAATAATACCCCAGTACGGTTTGTCAACCAAGGTCCGTCTAGTCAAAGCTATGGTTTTTCCAGTAGTCACGTATGGATGTGAGAGCTGGACTAAAAAGAAAGCTGAGCTCCAAAGAATTGATGCTTTTGAACTGTGATGTTGGAGAAGACTCTTGAGAGTCCCTTGGACTGCAAGGAGATCCAACCAGTCCATCCTAAAGGAGATCAGTTCTGAGCGTTCATTGGAAGGACTGATGCTGTAACTGAAGCTCCAGTACTTTGGCCACTTGATGTGAAAGAACTGACTCATTGGAAAAGACCGTGATACTGGGAAAGACTGAAGGCAGGAGAAGGGGACGACAGAGGATGAGATGGTTGGATGGCATCACCAACTCAATGGACATGAGTTTGGGTAAACTCCGGGAGTTGGTGATGGACAGGGAGGCCTGGTGTGCTGCAGTCCATGGGACTGCAAAGAGTTGGACAAGACTGAGCAACTGAACTGACTAAAAATTAGTGGTAGGTACAAAGATGTTCATTATGTTATTCTCCTTATTTTCTATATGTTTGAAATATTTCAAAGGGTTTTTTTTTATAAAATCAACTCTGCCTGATGGAAATGCAATGGACTGGAAGAGAACAAGAGTGAAACAGAAGACCTTAAGGGAAGCATGTCTAGAAATCTTAGCTAGAGTGATGGTGACCTAGATTAGAGGTAATAGCAAAGTGGATGAATGTGAGATTGTATTTCAAAGGAATAATTTGTAGGACTTCTTGATGGACTACATATGAAGAGTTCAGGAGAGGAAAGATTCAAGGCTGACTTCTGACTAAAGCAATACAGAGGTGAAGGTGTTATTTACTCAGATGGGGAAAACCAGGAAAGGAATCAGCTTGAGGACATAAAGGAATATTGCTTTATGTTCATCTCTTATTTCTACTCAGACGTAAGCTCTTTATGAGGAGAATCTGTCCTATTTATCTCCATATCCCCCAAAGTTCCTAACATAACTATGCCAAATCATTGTCGTACACATGGGTATGCATTCTCTCTGATTTATCATACTCCACATACATCAGAAAGAAGAGAGTGAAAAAGCTGGCTTAAAACTCAATATTCAAAAAACTAAGATCATGGCATCCGGTCCCATCATTTCATGGCAAAAAGATGGGGAAACAATGGAAACAGTGAGAGACTATTTTCTTGGGCTCTAAAATCACTGCGGATGGTGACCGCACTTGCTTCTTGGAAGAAATTAAGACACTTGCTTCTTGGAAGAAAAGCTATGACAAACCTAGAACATATATTAAAAATCAAAGACATTACTTTACCAACAAAGGTCCGTCTAGTCAAAGCTATGGTTTTTCCAGTAGTTATGACTGCATGTGAGATTTGGACCATAAAGAAAGTTGAGCACTAAAGAATTGAAGCTTTTGAACTGTGGTGTTGGAGAAGACTCTTGAGAGTCCCTTGGACTACAAAGAGATCAAACCAGTTCATCCTAAAGGAAATCAGTCCTGAATATTCATTGGACAGACTGATGCTGAAGCTGAAGCTCCAAAACTTTGGCCAACTGATGAGAAAAACTGACTCACTGGTAAAGACCCTGATGCTGAGAAAGATTGAAGGCAGGAGGAGAAGAGGACGACAGAGGATGAGATGGTTGGATGACATCACCCACTCGATGGACATGAGTTTAAGCAAGCTCTGGGAGCTGGTGATGGACAGGGAAGCCTGGTGTACTGCAGTCCATGGGGTTGCAAAGATTCAGACACAACTGAGCGACTGAACTGAACCAAACCAAATTGATGACAAATTAAGTGTTACTAGGTTAATGTTTTTTATCAAATACAGTGACTGCTATGATTTTAACCAACTTCAGCCTACATTTGCTTCCCTTTCTGTTTATCCCATTGGCTTGGGACACTTTGGAAGGGCAGGGGACAAGTTAGAAGGTAAACCAGAATTCAACAAGGGTGAGGTATTCAAAGCCGTAAGTATAGAAATTCCATACAAATAAATCAAGATCTTAACTGTTTCATAAATACTTCAAAATTGGTACTTTAGAGTGCCAAAGGCAAATTCCAAAATGTCTCTTAGGAAAATTGTTACAAATTTTTAAAGGTAAGAATACAGCTATTTAAAAATAGGTATGCTCCACATTTTTAGCAACATTAGTTCTGTTGCTGGATTTACAAAGTTTATATTCTTTTTATTTCTTTGTGTTTTACAAGATGCACCTAAGTGGAAAATAGAATTGAATTCAAAGGCGTAACAAGTGTACGTATCTCTTCTTAAGTTCAATATTGTATTTTTATTGGATTTTATTCTGTAAATGATGAAAAACCAATGATGGTTATCACACAAAGAAAAGACACTGAGTGCTTTAATAGTAAAACTTTGGCTGTAATGCAAAGAATGGATAATATAACAGTATTAAAGACAGGAGGGTGTTATAGGGGAAGGTAGAGATGGAGAAGGTGTAATACTCTAGGTCAGGAGACTGCTTAACAGAAGTCCAGATTCCTGGGTCCTGACCCTAGAAATTCTGAGATAGTAGGTTTAGAGCTAGTTCTCATAAACCTAAGTGAGAAAAAGACCTAAACACTTATGACTGGGAGTGAGTTAGAGCATCAAAGGGAAGATATCCCTGATGCTAAAACCTTTAAAGGAGTATCAGGAACTCCTAAAAATTACAAGCTCATGCTTCATTTTTACCACAAATGAATACTGGCTCACCTGGATCAGGGTCATACTTTAGGTCCAACGGATGTACAACAGGGTGGTACTGCTTCTAAACATAAATTAAAACAGATTTAAATTAACAACTAGGTGACTTACAGAAACATTTTATTTGGCTAATATAAACAAATATTAGTCAGCAGTATCATTCTTTTGCCAAAAAAACAAAACAAAACAAAACATCCAAATTAGATCCTGTAGGGGAGGGAGGAGAAAAGAACAGATAAATTAAGTCTGAATTATACCTTTTAGAGTACTGCCACCTACTGCATACACTAAGATGCAGCAACAACATAAAGAAGCATAAAAGCAAATTAAAGGCATAGTGACAGAATCTTGTGTTTATATAAAGTATAAGGTAGTTTTCAAACTATTAACGGACTGTTTTTGAGAAGTTCATTTTAAGATAAGTGGTTAGAACTCAGAATTCATATTCACACAGAAATCTGTTTTTAAAAGTATCCAGCACACAAATGCCTACCTGTGATACACTGGGACTGCAGGAGAACTCTTAAGAACAGGGTCCACAATTCAGGCAAAAAGGAAGTGGAAAATGTCCTTTCTCATGCCCAAAGCAGCAGGAGCCAAAAAGGTTTTTGGTTTGTTCGTTTTAAAGCTATCTTTAGTATCCTCACCCCATTCATTTTTGCATCAATTTTTAAACTTCCACAGCAACACCCCACCTAGGTCAGCAAACCTTCTTTTATGTAATACTGACTATAGGTTTTTTGGTGGGGGGGTGGGAGCAGGGAGGAAGGGTAGTAATAGAAAGATACTGGAAAATAAATACATTTTGAATGTTTTTCCTGAGGAAACTTTAACAGTAGATGAGGGAGATGGGAGTGGGGTATTTCTTGGAGAACTGACATTTCTACAGAAAAAATAAGAAAAGTTTTGCTTATAACTATTTTTTTCTCATAGAACGATAAGTAAAATATTTTAGATAAAGTACCTGTTTTCACTCTCTGAAACAATTCCTGAAAAGGAAGCAACTGGAAAATTTTTATGTGAAAGTATGCTAATTTTAAAAAGTAGGGACAAACAGTTAAGCAAAGCTGAAAGCCACATATATGTCTCACTCCAGAGGCAATGCCATTCCAGCAAACCTTCTCCTGCCTCGTCATGATTTTTGGAGCGAAAGAAATTACACACAATTCATAAAGCAAATTTTGGTGTTATAAATAGGTAATCTCAATCTTCATCACCAAAATACATAACGAAGACAAGGGTCTCACAAAACACATACCTATATACAAATAATGTGCCAAATACAAATCACAAATAGAAGGAAGAGGCTTAAAAAATAAACTTCTTTCTCCTTCCTGGACTCAGAAATAAGTTATTGTCAGTCTTCCATCTTCAAATTCTACTTTATTTTATTATCAGCTGTATTCAAAACCTAGTGGGACTTAGAAGGGGGAAATTTTATAACAGACAAACAGTAGTAATTCAGGCAGGAAAAACAAAGAAAACAAAATGTCGTTTATCTCCACTTGATCTTACACTTTAACTTTTTTACTGTAGTAAAACAGACATTACATAAAATTTACTATTTTAAAGGTAAATCATCTTACCAGAATCTCTTGTTGTGCCTTTATGATTTTGATGACACATTCAAGGATCTTTCTGGGATACTGCTTACGTTTTGTGGCTAAATCAACTATGATTTCATCAAACTGGTCTTCAAGGACTTTGATATCAGAATCTATTTCAAGTGAAAAAATAATACCAAAAATTCCTTAAAACACAGTTTATATTATATATGAAAATGTAACATAAATAAACAATTTAAAAAACAAAAATTTAAGGAAAACAAATACGGCAAGTTAATGGATGCCTCACTTTGGTGACTGACTCATCTATTCATTTAACAGTCAATCACTTACTGGGCCTCTGTGGGAATCCAAGCCCAAATCAAAGAAATACAAAGATGATTAAAAAAAGAAAAAAAAAGACACAATGAGGAAAAACTTACAGGACAAAGGAATTAGAAGAAAGTTATCAATTAAAGTGTACAAAGCAAATGAACTAAACTCTAATATAAAGCACAGCATACTGATTGTTGGATTTTGTTTTAATGCCAATCTAATGCCTAAAGAAGACACACAAAAATATACGTGGGCTAAAATCTACAGAATAATTTAAAGCAGGCAGTATCTGTGCAAATACAAAAAGGAAAAATCTAGAATTTTCTATTAAAAAACTAAGACAAATTAATAAGGTTATGATTATGTTAAATAAATTTTCATGAAGTCATATTAAATAAGAGAACATATAACAATATTACATGTGTCAGTTCCAAACAATATAGTAACAATATATTCTGAAGAACTACTGATTAAAAATGAAAAATATAGTTGTACCTTGAAGCCTTATCAGTTTATAATGTCAAGTTTAGTAAATATGAAATTAAAAATACAATTTAAAAATTTGTATCAAATAACAAATGACATAAAACTAACCCTGTAAGAGTAAAATTTAATGACAAGACAGAAAAATAACTTAAAAAAAGAGAAATACAAAGATGAACATAACACAACCCCTGTTCTCTAAGAGCTTATGGTTCACTGGAAGAAACTGACGGATAACTGCAAAACAACTTCACAAATGCAACAGAAGTATGAACAAAATGCTATCAGGACAAAGAACAACTCGAACAATAACTATGCCTTGGGAATCTGAGACTTTAAAGAGAAAGTACCATTTGAGGTGGATCTTGAAATATTGATATAAGTGTAAATCCACTGCATTAAAAAAAAAGGTAGGGAAAAATAATATGGAGAAGCACCTGAGGCAGAGAAAACAGCATCAGCAAGATAAAGAGTCTTTAGGAAAAAGTTCTAAATGGCTGCAGGATAAACTATAAGGAAAGAAGGGTGATAATATAATGAAAGAGCCACACTGAAAGCATTTAACATTTGATTTTAATATTTCTTTGATTTGGCTAAAGCTATCTTATCAGTTGCTTTCCTATGTTTTAAAATACAGTACACCCTTCAACAACGTGGGAGGTAGGGGCACTGACCCTCCACACCATCAAAAATCCAAACATAACTTTATAGTTTCCACATCTATGGATTCAACCAACTACAAATCGTGCAGTACTGTAGTATATATGGTAAAAAAAAAAAAAGCCCTATATAAGCGGATCCTTGCAGTTCAAATCTGTGTTGTTCAAAAGTCAACTTTACTGATTCTCAAACTCTTGGAGGATGAATAATCACCTTGAGGACTTGTCAGAAGTAAAAAACAGCTATACTGAGGCATAACTGTCATGAAGTGAACTGCACATATTTAAAATATACAATTTGATAAGTTTTGACATGTGTATACCCTTGAAACCACCACCACAGTCAAGATAATGAACATAACCATCACCCTAAAAGTTTCCTTATGTTCCCCTATAATGTCCCCCTCCAGCTCCTTCCAAACTGCTCTCTATCCCAGGCAACCACTCGTCAAATTTTCATCACTATATTCTAGTTTTCGTTTCCTAGAATTTTATATAAATGAAATCATACAGTACACATTCTTTTGTAAGGAGAAGGGCAGAAATTTTGATTCTCAACAGAGGTCTCTGGAATCAGGTCCAGAAATTAAGCACCTCAGATAAAATGAATGCAGAGAATACATTAACCTTATTTTGAAAATTATTTTTTTACTTTTACTTATTTATTTGGCTGTATAGGATGGCATGGGGGCTCTCCAGTTGTGGCTTAGTTACCCCAGGGCATGTGGGATCTAAGTTCCTGACCGGGGAAGGAACCCTGGTCCCCTGCATTGCAAGCCTCATTCTTATCACTGAACTACCAGGGAAGTCCCTGGAAATTATTTTTTATTTTTATTTATTTTTTTTAAATAAAAAGTTTTATTGGAGAAAAATAGAACCACCACGTACACAGGGAAAAGAGCACAAAAATTCAACTGATACAGAACTGAAAGTCACAACTACCCTATGTTGTTTGCGATTACTTTTCAATTTCTTAAATGGCTTCCCTCAATTTTTTAAATAGCCTTGCCAAATTTTTTCAGCTGAAATAGCATCAGGTTTTCAAAAAATTAAGAGCCTCAGCGAAGGGAACAGCTTTTAAGATAACAAAGGTGATACCAAGAGTCTCCTAATAGGACCAACTCTACTGAAAAATTCCTGAAGCACATAACTACTGAGTCTGGTAGAACAGTAGCTCAGAGACGATCAGGGATTAGTTAGAACACTGACTCAGACAGTCCAGTATGCAGAGAAGGCAAACAAAAAAGCTGCATTTCCCTGTCAGATGAGTTCACATAAGAAAACCAAGGAGGTGCTAAGAAAATACAGGCAATGGCTGCTCGAAATAATTAAGAAGGCATTCTAAATACCACATATTATTAGACAACAGTGTGTAAAGTGATGCAATTAGAAAACAGGCAACTTAAAAAAAATATGGTCACAGGTCTTTGAGAACTCAAGAAAACAATCAATAGCAAACACAAGAGCTGAAAGTCTCAACTGAGGGGTGAAAGTGAAAGTGAAGTCTTATCCGACTCTGCGATCCCGTGGACTGTACCCCACCAGGCTCCTCCGTCCATGGGATTCTCCAGGCAAGAATACTGGAGTGGGTTGCCATTTCCTTCTCCTGGAAATTATTTTTTAAAGTAGCAAACATTAAGTAGTTAAAAATACTAAAAAGCTATGTCCTCAGCTTAACTGGTTTTGCATCCTGTGTGTTCTGCTATGTCAAAGTCTATGGCAAAAATAGATCTATTTATCTTACTGAGTAGAGAGCTTCATTACGGACAAGTCTGAAACATGTTAAATACTGGGGAACATTTTGAGACACTGCTGACATACATCAGCATAAACATACATATCAGGTAAAGATTAATGAGATCATGTGTGACTTTCATTCAAACAAATATTCACTAAGTTCAACTAAATTACTCCGAGAGTATTATGAAATATAGTCATTACTACTTTGAATACTCATTTAAATGAGCAGCCTTCCCTATATTTTAATTCATCTATTTAAAAAGTTCAATCACTAGGCTGAAAGGAATACTGTTACTATTTCACAATCAGCTATCAAAAACAAGTCTCCCAGCTAAATTCTGTGTAGAGAAGAAAATGGTTTCTTAGCACCACCTAATGATAAAGCTAAAAGCTGAAATGTATAAATTTAGTTCAGTTCAGATCAGTCACTCAGTCCAGTCCGACTCTTTGTGACCCCATGGACTGCAGCACGCCAGGCCTCTCTGTCCATCACCAACTCCCAGAGTTTACTCAAACTCATGTCCATCGAGTCAGTGATGCCACCCATCTCATCCTCTGTCATCCCCTTCTGCTCCTGCTTTCAATCTTTCCCAGCATCAGGGTCTTTTCCAATGAGTCAGTTCTTCACATCAGGTGGCCAAAATATTGGAGTTTCAGCTTCAGCATCAGTCCTTCCACAGTGAAGAGTTCTGACAAAATGTCCACAACAAAATCTAGACAGGGTATTAAAAAGCAGAGACATCACTTGACCAACAAAGGTACATGTGGTCAAAGCTGTGGTTTTTCCAGTAGTCATATACAGATATGAGAGTTGGTCCATAAAGAGGGCTGGATATCAAAGAATTGATGCTTTTAACTGTGGTGCTGGAGAAGANGAGTGCAATTGTGCAGTAGTTTGAACATTCTTTGGCATTGCCTTTCTTTGGGATTGGAATGAAAACTGACCTTTTCCAGTCCTGTGGCCACTGCTGAGTTTTCTAAATTTGATGGCATAAATTTAAGCAGGGAAGAATTTGTCATTACTCTGGCACCCCACTGGCTCAGGGGTAAGGAATTCACCTCAATGCGGGAGATGTGGGTTTAATCCCTGGGTCAGGAAGATCCCCTAGAGAAGGAAATGGCAACCCACTCCAGTATTCTTGCCTGGGAAATCCCATGGACAGAGGAACCTGGCAGACTACAGTCTATAGGGTCATAAAAAAGTTGGACAGAACTTAGTGACTAAACAAGTATGTACTGCGTTGGCCAAAAGGTTTGTTTGGTTTTTTTCGTAACTGGCTCTAGTAGTGCTTAATTGTCTTTAATTTCATTCAAAACAATTTTGTTAAGAGCGTACTGTGACAGTTGTCATATCAGTGTGTATTTTTTAAAAAAGTTTATCAATTGGTGAATTTTTGAGTAGCCATTTTAACACTGATCATGAAAGAAAAAAGCAACATTTTCGGCATATTATGCTTTATTATTTCAAGAAACATAAAAAAGGACTTGAAACACAAAAACAAAAATTTGTGTAGTGTATGGAGAAGATGCTGTGACCAACTGAACCTGTCAAAAGTAGTTTGTGAAGTTTCATGCTGGAGTTTTCTAAAGGGACAATGCTCCACGGGTGGGCAGACCAATTGAAGTTGAGAGCAATCAAATTGAGACATTAATCGAGAACAGTCAACATTACACCATGCAGAAGATAGTCAACATACTCAAAATAGCCAAATCTAACACTAAAAATCATTTGTACTAGCCTGGTTATGTTCATCGCTTAATGTTTAGGTTCCACATAAGTTAAGCGAAAAAAACCTTATTATTGAGCATATTTCCATATGCAATTCTCTAATGAAACAAAATGAAAAATGTCCTGTTTTTAAAACAAATTGTGACAGGAAATGAAAAGTGGATATTGTACAATAGTGTGGAATAGAAGAGATTATGAGGCAAGTGAAATGAAACACCACCAATCACACCGAAGGTTGGTCTTCATCCAAAGAAGGTTATGTTGTATATATAGTGGGACTGAAACAGAGTCCTCTATTATGAGTTCCTTCCAGAAAACCAAACGATTCATTCCAACAAGTGCTGCTTCCAAGTAAACCAACTGGAGGCAGCAATAGGTGAAAAGTGTCTGTAATCAGTCAACAGAAAACACATCATCTTCCATCAAGATAACACAAGACCACATGCTTCTTTGATGACCAGACAAAAACCGTTACAGCTTGGCTGGGAAGTCCTGATTTCATCCGCTATATTCACCAGACACTGCACCTCCAGGTGTCCGTTTATTTTAGCCTTTACAAAATTCTCTTAATGGAAAAAGTTTCAGTTTCCTGGAAGACAGTAAAAGGCACCTGAACAGTTCTTTGCTTGAAAATATAAAAAGTTTTGGGAAGATGGAATTATGAAGTTGCCTGAAAAATGGCAGAAGGTAGTGGAACAAAACAGTAAATATGTTGTTCAGTGAAGCTCTTGGTGAAAATGAAAGACTTATTTTTTACTTAAAAAAACCAAAGGAACTTTTGGCCAACAACATACTATGTGCCAAGCCAAGTACTGAAAACATAGTGATGAGGAAAGTATATATATTCCCTACTCTCAAGGAACTTACTTTTTAGTTCTTTTTTTAAAAATGTATTTATTTATTTGGCTGCACCAGGGCACAGCTGCAGCATGCGAGCTCTTTGATCTTCATTGGGGCATGGGGGATAGCCCTCTCAGAATAGAGAGCAGGGAGAAAGTTGGTTTCACTTGTATATTCATTCTTTCATTTGTTCACTCATTTGCACAATAAGCTTGTGAACAAAACACAAAAGCCTCTGCCCTTGTGAAACTTACTAACTGATTCTATGTATTAGATCAGATACAAACCCTATTAATTCTATCTTCTGAACATCTCTTGAACCCATCTTTTTTTCCTCTTTCTTAGGGTGGTCTTCACCGTCTTTGGCTGTATTACTGCAATAACTTCCTGAGGTCTGAGAGGTTCTCCCTTGAATTTCTCCCTTCTCCAATCCGTCCCTGACACACCCAGCAGTTAGATTCTAAAACATAAACTTTTTCTTGTTACAGTAGTGCACCCTTATCTGTGGTTTCACTTTCTGCAGTTTCAGTTACCTATGGTCAACCACAGTCTGAAAATATTAAATGAAAAATTCCAGAAATAAACAATTCCTAAGTTTTAAATTGTGTGCCATTCTGAGTAGCATGATGAAATCTCAGGTGGTCCTGCTCCATCCCACCCAAGACATGAATCATCCCTTTGTCCAACCTATCCTGCCCATTAGTCATCTGGTAACCACCTTGGTTATCGGATCCACTGTTGCAGTATCTCTGTGTTTGTGTTCAAGTAACCCTTATTTTACTTAATAACGGCCCCAGAGCACAAGAGTTGTGATGCTGGCAATTCAAACAGGGCCAAGAAGGGCTTCCCTGGTGGCTCAGCGGTAGAGAATCTGCCTGCCGATGCAGGCAACACAGATTCAGTGACTTGTCTGGGAAGACCCCACACGCTGCAGAGCAACTAAGCCCACCGCTACTGAGCCTGTGCTCTGGAGCCCATGAGCCCTGAGCCCACGCTCTGCGACGAGGGAGGCCGCCTCAAGGAGAAGCCCGCACACCACACCTAGAGAGCAGCCCCTGCTCACCGCACCCACTAACAGAGAAAAACCTGTGGAGCAACAGAGACCCAACACAGCCAAAAATAATAAATGAATTAAAAAAAATCAAATATGGCAAAGAGAAGCTGTAAGGTGCTTCCATTAAGTGAAAAGGCAGAAGTCTGCAACTTAATAAGGAAAAAAAATGTAGGCTGAGGTTGCTAAGATCTATGGTAAGAATAAATCTTCTCTCCATGAAATTGTGAAGAAGGAAAAAGAAATTTGTGTTACCTTTGTTGTCATCCCTCAAACTGCAAAGATTACAGCCACAGTGGACAGTAAGTCTTTAGTTCAGACAGAAAAGGCATTAAATTTATACAGTAAGATATTCTGAGAATGAGGGAAAGAGACCACATTCACATAACTTTTATTACAGAATATTATTATAATCATTCTATTTTATTATTAGTTATTGTTGTTAATTTCATTAAGCCTAATTTCTAAACTAAACTTTATCATAATTACATATAGGATGGATAAACAAAGTCCTACTAGCACTGGGAACTATATTCAATATTCTGTGACAAACCATAATGAAAAATAATATATGTATGTATCTTATTGAGTCACTTTGCTGTACAGAAGAACAGCAACATCGTAAACCAACTATACTTCAATAAAATTTTTTTAAAAAATAGTATACACAGGGTTTGGTACTATCTGAGATTTCAGGTAAAGACTGAACATCCTGGATACATCCTCCTAAAGGGTATGAGGAACTAATTTCGGGATGATTCAGAAGTATTACATTTACTGTGCACTTTATTCACATTATTATTACATCAGTTCCACCTCAGATCATCAGAAGTTGGGGACCCTTGACCTACAGGACCAAGTACAGATTCCTCTGCATATGCTACAGAGCTTTATGTGATTTGGTTCCAACTTGGCCTCATCTATCTCAATTCACTTCTGACATTTTCCAAATAATATCACTCCTTTGTGCCTTTAGGGCTTTCCTGATAGCTCAGTTGGTAAAGAATCCGCCTGCAATGCAGGAGACCCTGGTTTGATTCCTGAGTCGGGAAGATCTGCTGGAGAAGGGATAGGCTACCCACTCCAGTATTCTGGCCTGGAGAATTCCATGGACTGTATAGTCCATGGGGTTGCAAAGAGTTGGACACAACTGTGCGACTTTCACTTTATGCCTTTGCACATGCTTTTTTCTTTGCTTCAAACATCCTTCCAACCTCCTTTCTGTCTACACTTTTATTTATTAAATGCATTTAACAGCAAGCTACTCTGTCATGTTTTCTCCCACTTCCTAAAAAGTAATGTGTTTTTGTCTATTTCCTTCCTTTAATGAATGGTAAGAATCATATCTTTTCATTTATTTCCTGGAACTTGGTATGGTGTCTGACATTTATCAAGGGCCCATGGAAGAAGGTAGAAGTGTAGTATTCTCAACTATTTCCCCTCAGAGTTAAAAGGGGGAGGGGGGCGGGGAGGGACAAAGAATATCCAATTTTCAGCCATCCAGCAAGGCTGCCAACCTGTCATAAAACACACGTGTTGATCTATAAACTGATGAATCATATGTTAAAGGCAGTCTGGACCAAACAATACAGCAGTTCCAAACTGACTTCACAGAACAAGAGTCACATAAACACTCAGTAAAGTCTGTCTAGTTTGAAAATACTCCTAGGTGATTCTGATATGCTGCCTTTCCCCACTAACTGGCAATCACTCCGATAATAGTTGAAAAACCTGACGTTGTTTGTGAACTCTGGTGTCTCTGAAGAGATAATTGTAATAATGCCAAGGAGTAGAGAGTAAAGTCTTCTGGGCAAAAAATTATCTTAACGCTGAGAAGAAAAATTATCACCACAGAGAATTTCAGGGCTTAGAATAAGCTCAGAGGTATAAGTGGTTAATCTTAACAGCTAGCAGTGACATCAATCTACGCTGGTCAGATCTCTGCACTATCACCATGGGGACCAGCAAGGCACTCCAGTCCTCTTGTCAAGACAGCCCTCTTCCTGGACGTTGGTGGAGAATTGTCTCTCTTCCCACACTGATCATTCTTCTTCTCCTACATTTTTTCCTTCCTACACTGACCATTTTCTTTCTATTAAAACTTCAATTTCTTTAAATATGTCACCTTCATTAGATAGGGTGCAATCTAGTCTGCCTGGACCAGCAAAATATTCTGTCTTTTAAAGGAGGTTTCTGCAAATATTAAATTCCTCCTTTATATGGTACTCATACAGTTTAACTTCACATTTCTAAGAGTATTTCACTACCTACTCAAAGGATTGCTTATAAAAATATAATTTGACTTATAAATCATTAACCATAGGAATTCTCTGGGACTGCTTCTTCATCTCACGATAGTTCTATAGTATCTTCCAATAAGCTACTGATGAGGGTACGAGATGAAAGTCTCGTGGGAATGCCAGATAGCATATATAAAGGATCATGGTAACCACTATGTTGTTTGCCTCAATGTATGACCTTAATAGTCTTCTAGATTAGTTTTCTCTTTTCTTCCAGTAAAGAAACTCTGCCAGTAAAGACGTGACACTGCAAACAGGCAGGAATTCCCTAGCAGTCCAATGGTTAGGACTTCGAGCTTCCACTACAGGGGGCATAGGTCTTGATCTCTGGTTGGGGAACTAAGATCCTGGAAGTGACATGGCAGAAAATGAAATGGAATGGCTACAAAAATAACTCAGCAATGAATGACAGAGGACAAAGTGAAGTCACATACCCATAAAGCAACTGTCTGAGGCTTCGTGCCATGCTTGCCCATTAATGCTGACGTTCTCTTGAACAGCTGATTCAAAAGTCTGCAATAAAGTCACAAAAATCAAGTCACTGAAAATAACTTTAAATACTGAATTCAAACATTTGGACAAGTCAGATTTGTGATAGAGAATATATAAAAAAGCAGACGACTAGATTACTAGCATGCTTATGCTTTCCAATGAAGTAAGATTCCATTTCAATCAATTATTCTACCTACATTTTAGTAACAACAGCCATTAAGCTACCCATGAGAAAATGTGAGGAAAAGTTTTAGAATACTGGTACAAAAAAAAAAATTAACTTCTTAAATGAAAGGAAAACAAGCTAACAAACTGGGCTCAAATGAATCTCAAGGGTATAAGTAATACATTTGCTGCTGAATGAGGGTCAGTGTTAACAAGAGGGAAAATACACAGGCTTATAAGAAAGTGAAATTAATTTCTACTTTACAACAGACTATTTTGGGGGGGGGGGTACTTCGTTGGGTCTTAGTTGCAGCACGTGGGATCTTCGCTGCATCACTGGAGATCTTTCACTACGGCAGACGGACTTACACAGACTCTCTAGCTGTGGCACTTGGGATCAGGGTTTCGGTGCTCGGGCTTAGTTACTCTACAGCATGTGAGCTCTTCCTGGACTTGGGGTTGAACCCACATCCCTTGCATTACAAGGCAGATTCTTAACCACTGGACCACCAGGGAAGTACTAGGACTCTTTTTTTTTGAGATGTACTTTGAAGTAGGTAATGATGAAATGACAGGAGAGATGCAATCTGCTTTAAAACAGAAGTGTAACATATTTTTGATAACTGCTAAATTTGATAATAGACATATGGATGTTCACTGTGCTAGTCTATTTTTTGTAATGTTAAAAATGTTCATAATACATTAAAAAGTAAAAAACTAAAGAAATTTGATGGTATCATCCAAATTTTAAATGCACATTCCCTATAGCCTAACAATTTCACGTCTATCAATATAACCTAAAGGACCATTCTCATAAAAACATGAAGAAAATAAACTGGGAATGCTTATTTCAGTTTGAAATTTTGAAATATTGAGGGGAAAATATCTAAATTCAAAACTAGGAGGGTGGCTAAATATACAATATACCCATATCATACAATACTAAAAGAATGAAGTACATCTCTATATAACATTAACAAATAATAATCAAAGACATATTCGGTTTTTTAAACAAAAAGCAGGATGTTATCAGCATGACACTATAAGTATTAAAAAAAAAAAAAGAACACTTTTTAAAACAGAGAGCTTTAAAGCCAAAAAGGAGAAGGATTATACCCTCCAAAACAGTAAGTTATTTCCAAGAAGGAAGAGGGATAGTGGAGAGGAATTGAAAGATTTTTGCTTTATGCTATTTTTCATAGTGAAAATACATTTTATAAATTAAAAATAAGCTTAAAATTATCCTTCAATTTAAAAATAAATTTTTAAAAAAGGAAAAAATAAGCTTAAATGATGACTGATAATTATGAGTTAGAGTATGTATTCTATACTTTAAAGATTTTATAAAGTAAAATCCTTACTCTATCCAACTCTATTCAAGAATTATCCAATAATATAAATTCTTTTTAATATTCATTGCATAGTTGTATCAATTTTTTAAAAATGTTATTTTATTAATTACTAGAGAAATGCAAATCAAAACTACAGTGAGGTATCACCTCACACCAGTCAGAATGGCCAACATTAAAAAGTCTACAAACAATAAATTCTGGAGAGAATGCACTGTACTGTTGGTGGGAATGCAAATTAATACAGATACTGTGGAGAACAATATGGAGGTTCCTTAAACAACTAGGAATAAAACTACCATTTGACCCAGCAATCCCACTACTGGGCATATACTCTGAGTAAACCATAATTCAAAATAACACATGTACCTCAATATTCACTGTAGCATTATTTACAACAGCCAGGACAGGGAAACAACCTAGGCATTCATCTTCAGACCAAAGGATGAAGAAGTTATGGTACATATATACAATGGAACATTACTCAGCCATAAAACCAAACAAACTTGAGTCAGCTGAACTGAGGTGGATGAACCTAGAGCTCGTTATACAAGTGAAGCGAGTCAGAAAAGAGAAATAAATGTCATATATTAACGCATATATATGGAATCTAGAAAAATGGTACTGATGAACCTATCTGAAGGGCAGGAACAGAGACACATGTAGAGAACGGACCTGTGCACACAGCAAGGGAAGGCGGGGATGGGATGCATTGAGAGAATAGCACTGACACACATAACCTACCACGTGTAAAACAGCTGGTTAAAAATCCACCTGCCAATGCAGGGAACGTGGGTTCAATCCCTGGTCTGGGAAGAGCTCACATGCCCTGGAAGCTGCCATATAATACACAGAGTTCAGCCTAGTGCTCTGTGACTACCCAGAGGGGTGGGAAGGCAGGGGTGTGGTCTGGTGGGGTAGGGATTGGGAGAGAGATTCGAGAGGGAGGGGATATATGTATACTCAGGGCTGATTCACGTTGTTGAACAGCAGAAACCAACACCGCATTGTAAACCAATTATCCTCCAAATAAAAAATAAGTTCCATGGTAGCTGAATAATGGCCCCCAGAGATGTCTGCATTCTAGTTCCCAGAACTTGTGAATATGTCATCTTGTACGGAAAAAAAGGGAGATTTTGCTGGATGTGATGAAGGATCATGAGATGTGGACAGTGTGTTTGATTATTCAGGTGGGCCCAATGTAATCACAAGGGTCCATACCAGAAAAAAAAAGGGCAGGAGTGTCAAAATCAGAGGGAAGGGGTGTGTGAGCAGAAGTCAGAGTGATGTGCTCAGAAGATGAAGGAAGGAGACATGAGTCAAGAAGTGCAGCCTCCAGGAGCTGGGAAAGGCAAGGGCAGGGATACACCCTAGAGCCTGCAGAAGAAATGCAGCCCTGCCAGCACCCTGACGTTAGGACTTCTGCCCTCCAGAACTGTCAGAGAATACCTTTCTGTCATTGTAAGCCACTCAGTGTGGTAACTTGTTACCTCAACAATAGGAAATGAATACACTGTCCACATCCTCTATCTCTGTTGTTTTTGGATTGTTATTTTCAATCTCTGTCCCAGCCCACTACCCACGCCCAGTATAAATAAATTAAAATATTAAAAAAATAAATACACAGGACTTTCCTAGTGGTCCAGTGGATGAGAATCCGCCTGCCAATTCAGGGGACACAGATTTGATTCCTGGCCTGGGAAGATTCCACACGCTGTGGGTTAACTAAGCCGGTGTACCTCAAGTCTGTGTTCTGTGAGAAGAAAAGCCACTGCCCTGAGAAACTCGCCTGCCACAACTAGAGAAAGCCTGAGCACAGCAATGAAGACTCAGTGCAGCCAACATTAGCCAATTAATTTTTGAAAGCCTTAAGTAAATAAGTCTACCAATTATAAATGCCACTCTCTTTCATGATTGGTGGGAATGTAAACTGATACAGCCACTATGGAAAACAGTATGGAATTTCTTCAAAAAAATTAACAGTTGCCATATGATCTGCATCCTACTCCTGGGCATATATCTGGAGAAAAGTACTAAATAAAATTTGAAAAGATATGCAGGACTTCCCTGGTGGTCCGGTGGTTAAAAATCTGCCCACCAGTGCAGGGGACATGAGTTCAATCCCTGGTCTGGGAAGATCCCACATGCCATGAGGCGACTAAGTCCATGCACCACAGCTACTGAGCTTGCGCTCTCGAATCGAGGAACTGCAACTCCTGAGACCACACACCACAGCTACTGCAGCCCGCATGCCCTAGAGCCAGTGCTCCACAAGAGAAGTCACCATAAAGAGAACTCAGAGCATAGCAATGAAAGCGTAGCTACCACTCGCAGCAAGTAAAGAAAGTCCTCGCGCAGCAACAAAGATCCAGCCAAATACAAAAATAAATAACTTAAAAATTAAAAAAAAACGATATGCATCCCAGTGTTCACTGCAGCACTATTTACAACCACCAAGACATGGAAACAACCCAAATGTCCATCGACAGATGAAGCACAAAGACATGGTACACATACACAATGGAATATTCCTCGACCGTAAAAAAGAGGAAAGAAAGCCGTCTGCCACAACATGGATGGACTTGTAGATTATCATATTAAAGTGAAGGAAGTCTGACAGAGAAAGATATCATTTATATGTAGAATCTAAAATATGACACAGAAGAACGTGTCTATGAAATAAAGTCACAGACATAGAGAAGAGATTTGTGGGTACAAAGCAGGAGGTGGGTGGGAGAAGGATGGATTAGAAGTTTAAGATTAGCAGATGCAAACTTTTACGTGTAAAATGGATAAACAACAAGGTCCTCATGTATATCCGAGAACTATATTCAATATTCTGTGATAAGCCATAATGGAAAAGAAAGCATACATATGTATAACTGAATCATTTTGCTATACAGTAGAAATCAACACAACTTTGTAAACCAACTATACTTCAACAAATTTTTTAAAAAACTATCACAAAAAATGTTACTATATTAAGTGGTTTTAGATAGAGATGTCAACATTACTGAAGCCTCCGCCTTTTATCTGTTTTCTTAATTAAAACACAAGTGAATTCCCTTGGTAGTTTAAGTCTTCACATCTTTTATCTTCAAATTTACTTTCTCATCCATTAATAAAGTATAATTGGTTAAGCCAAGTTCCTCTTTTCCTGTAAGGAGAATTAATGTTCTAAGTACCTTAGCACTTCCTGGAAAGGGGTAAATTCTAAGCTCATTACACAAAGAAAACAAGTCGTCTCCCAGGAAATTACTACTACAAATGTCCTCAGGTATGTCTCTATCCTTCTCTTGCTAGCAAGCGGGGAATGATATAAAAGTCAATGTATACAACACTGAACACAGAATCACAACCCAGGGAGCGTTCCTACATTCTTCACCCACTTAACCTTTATTTTGTTTGCATTGTGGTCAGTAAAACTGTACTGCATTACAAACATTTTAACATTTCCCCCTGTATATAAATAGGTTGTGTGCTTTCTTCAGACTAGCACAAATCCCTCAATTTGTTGTGTCTTCCCCCACCCCTCATCTTCTACAGAGCTTTGCAAAATACTTGAGAAAGGAAGGGGAAATGGATTATAAGGGTCAGTGTGATCTTAGTGAAGTTTATAATGGAAAGCTTCCTTACCTATTTTAGACTCGTAGGGAAAATGTTTTCGCTCTCTTTACAAGATACTCTAAAAGCAAGCAAAAAGAAAGACCAAAAGCTAGCCTGGTGACTGACTTCCAGGATTCTCCTTACTGAGTTTCTGTCTACACCGTCCAACAGGGGACAATCCAACCACTTGGTGGCTGTTGAGGCCTTAAAATGTAGCTAGTGGAAAAGGACATGAGGTGTTAAGTTTAAGACAAACGTGAAAAGCTTGGTATGAACCAAAGAATGTAAACTACCTGTTCCTTTTTTTAAATTATTACAAGTTAAAATGGTATCTTGGACACAGTCCGTTAAATAAATATCATAAAAATTAATTTCACCTATTTTCTTCCTTTTAATTTCAAGTGACATACATGGCTCGCCTTGTATTTTTCGGTCAGACAGCACTGGTCTAAGTTAACTAACAACACCCAGCTGCCTCCAGCATCTGTCTGGTTCCCTCGCGTTCCCCGGGCACGTTAAATTCTGCCCAAGCCGGCCGTAGGCTCCTCCTGACCACTGAGACCAGGGTGTGGAGAAAGCGGGTGAAAAGACAAGAGACGACTACTGGGCCCGTACCCACTGCGCATCTCGCAGCGCGGGCTCCCGAATCTCCTCAGGCAGCGCGTCCCCGAGCTTCTGCACGAAGCTGCTGCACAGTTCTAGCATTTCCGTCACGGCTCGCTTCGAGGTGCAGAGCACACGGAAGTCTTTTCGGTGTGTGGCAGGGACCGAGGCCCTGTTTTCTGTCCCAGCCACTCTCCCCAAGTCCCGCGAAGAGGAACGAGTCACCGACCCAAAGGCCCGCTCCATCTTTCCAACTTGAACTGTGGGCGGGAACTCGGAGGGCGGAAGGGCGGGTTTCCCGGGAGGAAGGAGCACCCGTCCGGCCGGAAACTCAACCCAACGCGGCATCTGCGTTCCGGCTGAGGCTCCGCCGGCGAGTCCACGGGTTTTGGAGGCTGCGAAGATGGGGGCGGTGGGCGTAGGGCTGGTGGACTGTCACTGCCACCTCTCCGCCCCGGACTTTGACCACGTACGTGAGGGCGAGGTCGGGCCCGTGGGAGCGGGGCGCCCCCCGTCCTTTACCCCTCGAGTTATCCTCCCATGGGGCGAAGTTCCACGCGTAATGTCAGCGTGTTTTACCTGCTACATTGGGAAGCCAGAGGCTAGTATTAGAGAAAGAAGAGGGGGTTCTGTTTTGGCGGACACCTCTCAAGAGGTGACCCTTAAGTTGGGGAAGAAGGACAAAGCGGTGGGTGCATGGTGGTGAGGAAAGCAGGCGGCTCGCAGGCCTCCAGACAGGACAGAATTTGGCACATTCAAACTCTCGAAAGGCTGGGTGGCGTCCGATGAGCTAAAAAGAGAGAAGCATAAAATCGGACTGAAGTTTGCATGGGAACGATGAGGCACGAATTCGCATTTCGTTAGAATCACAATGGGGATCCTGTAAAATGGTTTGTTGGATGGTAGGGTGGTTGAAGGAGAGAGACGTGATCTGATAATCCATCTAAAAACCTTTCTGCTGATGTGTGGGTAAATGGATAGAGGAGGGCAAGGGTTAGAAGTTAGAAAACCGGTTTGAAGGCTTTTGCAGTGTTGAGACTAAAGATGATAGAGGTTGCCTGAGAGTTGCAAGGGAGAGAAGCAGATGGATTCAGTTATATTTTGGAGATCGATTCTAAAGTACATACTGAGAATTGGATGTGCAGAGAGGGAGAGGAAGAACTTGAGGATGCTGTAGAGAGATGGTGCTGCTGTTTACTGAGATGAGGGAAAACAGGTTGGAGAAGGCAGAAGGAACAGATTTGTTGGGGAGAAAATAGTTATGCTTGGCACATGTTGAAACCTGATGTCCATCCAAGTGGAGATGTCATACGGTCATTTTAAAACGTGAATCTTGGGTTCAGGAGAGAATTACAGACTGGAGATAAAAATTGAGGACTCACTAGCATAATGAGTATAGTAAGGAGATCACCTAACGGGAAGTACACAGAGAGAGGCCTACGGTCCTGAAATCAGAGGAGAGAGAGCCAGTCGAGGAGGCTTGATAAGTAGCCGACAGCTAGCGAGAAGTGTTTGCAGAAGCCAAGAGTAGAAAATATTTGGGGAAGAAAAGAGTAGACAAGTGAGGAGTTTCTAATGCTGCTGAAGGGTAGAGTAGGACAGAGAAGTGTCTTTTATATTTAACGATAACAGTTTCTGTTCCACTAGAGTGGGAACATAAGCCAGAATTTACTGAGAGATCAAATGGAGCTCATCACACCACCCTGTTCCTTGCCATCATTGTCATCTTTATGGTGCCTCAACTGCATTGGTTGATGCATTGGTTGCATCTAAAATAATCATGATTACTTATGTTCATTTTAGGATCTGGATGATGTGCTGGAGAAAGCCAAGAAAGTAAGCCAATAGCTATACATGCTCTTTTTTATTTTCCTACTAATTTTGATCTAAGATAGCTTGAAATTTAGATATAATATGTTGATGTTGCTTCAGTAAAAAACACATTAACAATAACCAGCATCTATTGTTTGCTATGTGCCAGGCCCTGAACTAAGCCCACTCTGTACATTATCTCATTTAATGTTTCTCAACAACCTTCTAAGGAAGCCACAATTTTATAGCCAGCCATTACCTGTTTTATAGATGAGGAAACTAAGGCCTAGATTAACTTGTCCAAAGACGCATCACTAGTAAAGTGATACAGACAAGATAGTCTGAATCCAGAACACATGCCCACAGCCACCAGGCATGCCAGCTATATAGAACAGGTTGGTCCGTCTGTCAGTTCTTAAATTAGCCTTATTCTAAAGATCTTGGAAAAATTATAAAAGTTTTCTGAAACATTTTGAGTTGTTTGGGGGAAATTGTTAATTTTTGGAAGCATTTATGAAATTCATTACAACCAGCATTTTGTGGTCTTCCTTGAAAGTTATAGAAATGGTTGCCATTTTTATATATAGCCATCTTTCATTACTGCAATTTAATTATGAGTGTGGTATTTGGAGTAACATAGGCCTAATGATCTTGGGCAAGTTATTTGACTCCATCCAAATGTCTCTTGATCCATACAATGGATTACAGCAATGCCTATGTCAAAAGGGTGTGCAGATTAAGTGGGGTAATATTTATATTCACTGAACATAGTGCCCAAAACACAGTAGCTAATTAGTGATAGCCATTATGATTATATTGATGGAGTGTGAGTGAGCAAGGATAACTAAAAGCACAGAAAACTTTAAATTTTTATTTAACTGTAGTGGATGTATATTGTTTGAGACTCTAACTGTTCTATTCATTTTTGTTTCAGGCCAATGTTATGGCTCTTGTGGTGGTCGCTGAACATTCAGGAGAATTTGAAAAGATTATGCAGCTTTCAGAAAGGTGCTACTTCTCATTTGGAAATAGACAGAATTGCTATTAAAGATGCATTTATGGTGCCATGTTTATAATATCAAAGATCATCCATTTTAAAGAGAATGAGAAGAAAAAAAATTACAGTAACAGCCTTAAAAAAATTATTTCCTACTTGTTCTTCAGAGTAACATTGTCTCCTAGTCTAATAATCCTGCTTTCTTAATTCATTCTACATTTTTAGGTATAAGGGGTTTGTCCTGCCATGCTTGGGTGTTCACCCAGTTCAAGGAGATTCACCAGAAGACCAAAGAAGTGTCACATTAAAGGTAATAGTCTTAAAAAAAAAAAAAAAAAAAGGTAATAGTCTTATAAAACAGGAGCCATAAAAAAAAATGGTATTACCCTTTGACTCAGTAATCCTCCTCTTTCTGATTTTTATTCTAAAGCAATAATCCAAAAGAAAGAAATTCTATCTTCTTTCACAAAGAGGTTTCAGTTCAGTTCAGTTCAGTTGCTCAGTTGTGTCCGACTCTGCGACCCCATGGATTGCAGCACGCCAGGCCTCCCTGTCCATGTGATAGAGTAAAAGTGGGAACAGCCTAGCAGTTCAAAAATAAATAATTAACTTATACAGTGTTAAATATGATGCTACAATGTTAAATATAACTATAGAAAATGTGGGTTATAAGGTATATGTGCATGAGTGCTAGGTCATTTCAGTTGTGTTCAACTCTTTGTGACCCTATGGACTGTAGCCCGCCAGGCTCCTCTGTTAATGGGATTCTCCAAGCAAGAATCCTGGAGTGGGTTGCAATGCCTTCCTCCAGGGGATCTTCCCCAGCCCAGGGATTGGACCCACATCTTCTGCGTCTCCTGCATTTTGGGCAGACTGTTTACCCACTGAGCCATACATTGGCTCCTGTCCCTACTTAACCCACTTCACTCATTTCTGTTAAAAGCCTGACCCCTGTTCTAAAGGTTCTAAAGACTAAATATTTTCTTTAATAAAAAATAAAATCAATTCGAATTATTTTAAATCAGTCAGAATAAATCCCTTCTCCCTCCCCTTTGCCCTTCCTTTCCTTCTCTCTCCCTTCCTCTTTGAACAACATAGTGGAAACATCATAAGCTTTGAAGTCAGAGAGACTTGGCCTGCTGCCTCCTGCGATCTATGGCACTTAACTTTGCCAGGTCTCCGTTTCCTAATGTGTAAATGCTGAATAATTATTTGCAGTATTCCCAGTCATAGAGTATAAAGGTATAGGATATTTAAAAACCCTACAGTAGAACCATTAGCTATTAAGGAACTTGAGATCTTATGGGGGAAGTAGGAATAGCGCTAAAGTCAGAGACAGACCTATGAATGTCCTTTGAAATATTTTTACATGTATTACAATGTTAAAGACCACACATATTTATACATTTTAGTGATATGAATTAGTATTTCTATAATTTACTATCCTTGACTTGCCAGAAACTTCCAAATTATTTCATGAAGAATTGAAATAGTCTCATTGTAAGTTTGTTTTCCTGTTTTTATAGATAATACATATACCCTCAGAGAGATTTTTTCCCTATATCTGGTCTTCATCCAAATGTGTAATTTCTTTGTCTTAAGATTTTCTAAGTGTGCTACATTTCCTGGGTAATCTCTCCAACTTCTCTAGACCCTTTGAGGTCCCAGACACACAGATTAGTTTGAACGTTTGATACAGAAGATCTTTTCCTGACACTGACCTACTCAGCTGTTGCCAGACAGGTAACTAGGGTTATATATGCTTAGCTCCTCTTGACAATATTATTTCTTCTTCATTGAGTCTACTGGAATTGTAAGGCCTTGATTTATCCTCCCTCATCTTTTCTCTCTCTTGAGGCATAATTATAAATCCTCTCCTGTTCCTCAACCATCTGTTTTACCTCCCTTTTCTTAATTCTCCTTTTTCTGATTATTCTCACTAGAAGTTCTTTGACTTTATATACTCTGAGACTGAAATCCTCAAAGTAATTTAAAATATCTAGAAGCAAATTTTCCACATATTTGTTTTTCTCTTGCCTTACAAGAAAACCCTTACAAGGGAAATTCTTTCTCTTTTTTTAATTTTTAAATTTTTTTCTTTATTTTTTATTAGTTGGAGGCTAATTACAATATTGTAGTGGTTTTTGCCATACATTGACGTGAATCAGCCATGGATTTACATGTGTTCCCCACCCTGAACCCCCCTCCCACCTCCCTCCCCATCCCATCCCTCCGGGTCTTCCCAGTGCACCAGCCCTGAGCACTTGTCTCATGCATCCAACCTGGACTGACGATCTCTTTCACACTTGATAAGATACATGTTTCAGTGCTATTCTCTCAGATCATCCCACCCTCACCTCCCTTAGAGTCCAAAAGTCTCTTCTATACATCTGTGTCTCTTTTCCTGTCTTGCATATAGGGTTATCGTTACCATCTTTCTAAAGGAAATTCTCTTTAAGTG